GGAAAGAGGCAGCAGGCCTGGTTCCTCCCCCCACCCCCCCCTTCCCTTGCCTGCAGAGCAGAGGGGTTAATTCCCATCAGCCTGGGAAAGACTGAAAGGTCTCTTGAAATGTGCATCAGAGCTGGGGTTAAAGCAGCTTTGGATAAGCCCTTTTCTTAATTAAATCTGTTCCAGTCTCAACAGGTACATGGTACTCGCTGTGCTCCTTGGAGGGACGCTCCAGGTGTGGGAAAGAGACTTAAATTGTTTTCTTTTCCCTGGAAGCAAAATGGCTGTAGCCAAAAAGTGCATATTTCTGCTCAGAGCGAGACCTGAGTGGAGTTTTCAGGCGCTGAATGCCCATCTCCAGCTGGGGCTTCTCGAGGGTTAATGCAGCAGGAGATGCCAGCCAGCACGGCACTGAGCAGAGGGCTCTGCAAACAGAAGCTGTAGGGCTTCAGCTTCATGGTTCAAAGGTCCCTCCACGCAGATTGAAAGTCCCCTGGGGGTGGAGATCATCCCTGTCCCTCCAGCCTCCAGTCCTGCTCCATGGAGCCAGGTGCCAGCCACGGCCAACAGAGCCTAAAGGGACTGTCCTGGTGCAGAAAGTTCAACGTTCCTCCCCAATGACTTGACCAAGGGCTCTGCTACATCATTTGATTCCTCCTGCGGCTTGCAGGCCTTTCAACCCACGTGCTCATTAGGGGATGTAGTTAATCACATGCTTTATCTCAACCCCCACGGCAGCAGCTGAAGCACAGAGGAGGCTGTGTGATGCCCTGCGCTGCAGCTACTCAGTTGTCTAGTCAGGGACTCAGTTGTGGTCGGTCTGAACAAAACCTGGCCTCAGGGGAAGGCACAAAAGCAGCTGGTTTAGCCAAGGTACTGCTGGTTCAGGCTCCATACGTGAGGCTGAGCTCAGAGATGAGCTTTTGGTTGCACTGGGCAGGACCATTATTTGGAGCTCCTTATGAGATTGCTGCCCTGTTCTTCAGCACAGTTTGACTCAGCAATAGGTTTAAGACATTGGGGTTTTTTATTAGTTATTGTAAAACTAAGTTGTCTTTTATCTGATAAATCTGAATACCAAGACAGTGAAGTGCATCTTGATATATTTTTTTTTTTTGGCCAGAATGGACGGGAAGCCTGTGCCTTGCCATCACAGGTCCATCTTCTTCAGGGTTTGCAACTCAAACGTGGCCAGGCTGCGAGTTACGGGAAGCAGCTAGGCTCTCCTCCTGTACCAGGGGAAGGGAAAGGGGCCTGAAAAGATGGTCTCGTTGTTAAAGACTTGGTCAAGGATATCAGGGTCTTCCCAGGCAAACTTGCTGGAGTCCCATTATCATTAGTATCTTGGTCCCCCACGGCTGTCCAAAGAGGATAACGACCGAGCTGGCTCCCCGTTAATGGTGGGGATGATCTGCCTGGCAGATTGACTCTGCTGTGAGCCTGGAGACACCTGAGCAGACTCCTGCAGCCTGGCTCCATCCAGAACGGCTGTCCTGCTGCAAAACCTGAGCCAGGCCGCTCAGCGTGGGTGGAGAGGCAGAGAAACCTTGTTTGCCTGGCACTGAGCCTAAGCTAACAGCCTCTGCCAAGCCTCAGGTGCAAAATACATCGAATTATTCGTGTTTTTCTTCTGTGAGAGCCCCTCCCTCCCTCTGCCTGGGCAACAGAGATTTGACTGCTTCGTTTCACCCAGCTTTTGTCTGTCTGATCCCATTCTTTGGGGCAGGAGTGGCCTTCTGGCCAGTTTTGGTAGGGTGCCTGGCAGAGCGGAGCTCCCCATCTTGCTCGTTGCCCATCGCTGCTCTTATCCTGCAAACAGTAGCAGTAATTGCAACGCAGTCGTCGAACTGGACGCAGGAACAAGCGTGCTAGAGCTGGATGTAGCATCCCCATGCAGCGATATAAGGGTGTCATTAATAGTCTAGCTGAAGGGCAGCTTTACATTGTACTAGGTATTTTAATTAGGGAATTGCTTCCCTGTTAGGATTGAAGCTAATTTACTTCCACTGGGCTGTGCTTTAAATCATCTTGTAGCTTCCTCGGTAAGAAACGGATCTCCTTGAATTGCACATGCCGTAACTCAGCAGGGGTAGAGTTCCCTTGATAAGGAAGATCAATAAATGAGGTTTATCTAAGGCTGCAGCATGCTAAAGATGTGTCCAAGCGCCGCGGTATTCACTCTTGGCCTCTTCTGCCTCCGGGTGACTCTGCAGCATTCTGGCCACGCTGCATTGCACTGACTTTGGGTGGGTTGACCTTGCCCTGAAGAATTGGCTTTGGGAGGGAGAGTTTCAAGCAGGTAACACGTTGTTCACAGGTGCGGAAAAAGCAGCGTTGAACACGGAAAGTCAGGGGAGGTGGCAGGAGAAGGGGGGGATCCGCACGCTCCACAGAGATAGAGAGGTGAATAAAACTGTCACCTGATCAGACACTCCGTTTCCAGGCATCTGTTAGGCAGAGACCACAGTGTTTGTCTCCGTGAGGTGTGTTTACGGTGAAAGAGGGATTTTCTCCTTTCTTGGGAGGATTTTAGTGTGTGTGGGGGGGGGGAAAGCGACGCCCCTCGGGCGACGCC